TGGTGCAGTGTAAGATACTATGAAATAGGTGAGTACAAGGGTGTATTAGGAGCATATAAAACAGATACCTAAGTCTGACAGGGTGGGGAGTCAGGGAAGGCTCACTGGAGGAGGAGAGACAACCTGGGTGTTAAAGTACAAGTTGGAGCTTGTTTCACAGACAAATGATGGGAAGGGTGTTTCAGGCTGAGGGAACAACAGGTGGATGCATAGTTGGAGCCATTTACAGCTTATACCACAGCATCCTGCAAGTGTTAATTTATATCATTTTCTCTCTTCAATTTTGTGATGAAGTCTCTCATGCTCTGCTTTTTAGCTGGCTTGTAATTGCCTGTCTCCCATGGTAATGAATGTTCTTTAAAAGTAGGCTCTGTATTGTTTACTGTTGTGTCTCTAGCAGTACCTGGCACATTTTGGACATTTAAATGCATGTTGAATGAGTACATGAATGAATAGGATTCTTTCCCATTAGCTCCCCAAAGACTCAGATTACCCCCTTCTCTTCTTCCCTTTCCCTGTTGTTTTACCTCCTTACAACCCTCACTCTTTTCTGTCCCTCAGCTTCCAGGCCCCATCGCCCCAGAAGCCATGGTCTTCAAACATGAGGACTGGTTCACAAGCCCATCCACACTTAAAAACACTGGCGGAGGGGCGCACTTGGCACAGCTGGATGGTGACCATGGGAAGGTACCCTGGAATCAAAAGCATGGAGTTGAAACAAGGGTCATTAGTGGTGTCATGAGCCAGGGTGACATCTGGTTCCACTATAGGACAGGCTTGCCTTGGAAAGGCAGACCTTGGGAGTCCCCTGCTCAGGGCTCCTTCTGCCTGGGCAGGGTTGGAGGGGCGCTGATAGAGCCAAACTTCTCTCGGCTCTGCAGAGCTGCAGAACCGGCCCCCTGCAGGCTCCGCCTGTCCTGGCTGTGTTAATAGAGCGAGCAGGCTTCCTTCCAATGCCTAGATTTGGCTTCCAAGCTGTCTCTGGGTTGGTGAGGCAAACCCCTCTGTAAACGGTCTGCCCCTGCAGTGAGCAGTGATTTTTAGGGTAATCATGCTCCTCACTTCTGGGTGCACTTCTCTGTTGTCTGAAGCCAGCACTGGCTTTTTAAAGCATCATCTTCTGGACCTTCCATCTGGCAAGGGTGTCTGACATCTTTGGCTTCTAATCTCAGTCCCCAGGCACCCTGGCCACTGCTTTCCTAGGCTGCCTCTACTCCCATCAGACAGGCCTGCTGCTCTCCACTTTTCCTGCCTCACTTGCAGTAACAACCCAACCATCAGACCAGCGGTTCTACCCCAAAACAGTGCCTTACATTTGTGCAGCCCTATACAGCCTCCAAAAGCTTTTCATACATCTTTATTTATTCCATGTTCTCTTTGGTTATGGAAGGAAGGAGAGCAGATGTCATATAATGTAAAGAGTTTCACGGGCTAGTGGTGCCCTGGGAGGGAAGCACTGCTCTGGGCAGCATTGGAGAAAGTGACCTTGCAGGTTGAATGGCTTCTGGAGATGACAAGGCCCGGGGTTTGTCCATGGGAGCTGGTGTCTGAGAAGGAGAGGACAAAAAAGCCTTTGGACATCTGAGGCCAAAGCATTGAATGGTGGTTGGATGGCTGACCATGTGGACAGTGAAGTCACTGAGACAGATGACAGGAACTGGGTGGAAATGACCAGAAGCCAGTGACCAAGTCTTAGTAAATGAGGGTAAGTCTCAGGATTGGTGGGTGTCAACACTGAGGAGAAAGGGTGGGTCAGTCAGGTGGTATGAGCTTTAAAAAAGCCAGAATTTTCCAGGGGTCCAGGGAATAATGACCTGAAGCTGAAATGGGGACGGAAGGAGGCCACAGCCAGACTCAGAGCCTATGCTGAATGGTGAGGGCTGGGAGAAATAAAGAGCCTCCACTTGAGAGGGCCATGGGGGACAGTGAGGTTCAGTTGAGTCAGGAAGCAGAGTGAAACTTCTGAGAGGAGGCTAGGATATTTCTGACCACTGGCTGGGAATGCCAGGGAGGTCCATTCAGTTGGAAGAAGAAGGGGAAGAGACTCTGGGGAGAGTTCTGAGTCTTCCTTGCGGAGCCGTGGGGATGCAGGAGTGTGCGTGCAGGCCATCCTGTTCGTTTCTGCTGGCATAGCTGCGATTTGGGCTTTCAGTGGAGTCCCAAATAAATGCTTATGGAAGGTGAGGTGGAAACTCTGATCCTGTGTTGAATCATAAACTCTAAAATCACAAAGTGCTCAGAATAAACCACAACTCCACATTTGGATGATATTTGAGAATTTACCAAGTATTTTAACATATATTTTCCTCATTTCCTTAACAGAACTCTGTGAGGTGGGTATTATCAATGATGAACTCACAGTGACTTGCTGACGGTGGCATTCCTGCGAAGTGTCAAAGCTGGGATTAAACTCCACTCTACAGAGTTCTGGCCAAGATGGACATGTAGGTAGATACACTTTGCCTTCTTGCACAACCAAAAGAAGGACAACAAATTTAAAAACAAAAAAGTAACCAGACTGCCAGAAAATTGAACTGTATGCAAGTCTGACAATCAAGGAGTTAAATAAGAAACATTCATCCAGACTGGTAGGAGGGGCAGAGACAGGCAGCTGGTGCAGAGAGGACATTTGGCAAGGCGGTGGCTGGAGGACCACGTGGGAGAGGTAGCAGCTAGTGGACTCGGTGGTCCCATATTTGTGTGCAGATAAGCCGGTAGGAAGAGCTGAGGAGCAAGACAGACTGTACAACCCAGGGTTCCAGTGCGGGAGAAGGAAGCCTCAAAACCTCTGGTTGTAAAAACCTGTGGGGGTTGCAGCAGCGGGAGAAACTCCCAGCCTCACAGGAGAGTCTGCTGGAGAGACCCACAGGGTCCTAAAACATACACAAACCCTCTCACCTGGGAATCAGCACCAGAAGGGCCCAATTTGCTTGTGGGTGGTGGGGGAAAGCCAGCTGGAAGCCAGGTGAGCGGCACTGTTCCCTTTCTGACCCCTCCCCCACATGCAGTGTCACAACACAGCGACCTGGTTGTCCCACCCTGAAGAATACCTAAGGCTCCGCCCATTCCAACGTAACAAGTGCACTAACACAAAGAAATATGGCCCAAATGAAAGAACAGATCAAAGTTGCAAAAACAGAATGAAGCAATGAGGAGATAGCCAACCTATCAGATGCACAGTTCAAAACACTGGTAATCTGGATGCTCACTGAATTGGTTGAGTATGGTCGCAAAATGGAGGAAAAAGCAAAGGCTATGCAAAGTGAAATAAAGAAAAATATACAGGGAATCAACAGTAAAGAGAAGGAAACTAGGACTCAAATTAACGAGTTGGAGCAGAAGGAAGAGATAAATATTCAACCAGCACAGAATGAAGAAACAAGAATTCAAAAAAAAAAAAAAAAAAAAGAGGAGAGGCTTAGGAACCTCTGGGACAACTTTAAACACTCCAACATCCGAATCATAGGGGTGCAGAAGGAGAAGAGGAAGATCAAGAAACTGAAAACTTATTTGAAAAAATAATGAAGGAGAACTTCCCCAATCTGGCCAAGGATATACAGACTTCCAGGAGACCCAGGAAGCTCAGAGAGTCCCAAAAAAGTTGGACCCAAGGTAGCACACACCAAGGCACATGGTAATTAAGTTACCCAAGATTAAAGATAAGGAGAGGCTCTTAAAATCAGCAAAAGGAGAAAGTTACCTACAAAGGAGTTCCCATGAGACTATCAGCTGATTTTTCTAAAGAAACCTTGCAGGCAAGAAGGGGCTGGCAAGAAGTTTTCAAAGTCATAAAAGACAAGGACCTACATCTAAGATTACTGTATCCAGCAAAGCTATAATTTAGAATGGAAGGGCAGATAAAGTGCTTCCCAGAGAAGGTCAAGTTAAAGGAGTTCATCATCACCAAGTCCTTATTATGTTAAAGGGACTTATCTAAGGAAAAGATGAAGATCAGAAACTCTGAACAGTAAAATGAGAACAAACTCACAACTATCAACAACTGAACCTAAAAAACAAAAAGAAACTAAGCAAACAACTAGAACAGGAACTAAATCACAGAAATGGAGATCGGAGGGGAGAAGGAGGGAGGATGGAGGAAAAGGTACAGGGAATAAGAAGCATAAATGGTAGGTACAAAATAGGCAGGAGGAGGTTAAGAATAGTATAGGAAATGGAGAAGCCAAAGAACTTATATGTAGAACCCATGGACATGAACTAAGGGGCGGGGAGATGCTGGTTGGAGGAGGGGTGCAGGGCAGAGGGGATTAAAGGGAAGAAAAAAATGGGACAACTGTAATAGCATACTCAATAAAATATATTTTTAAAAACCCAAAACAAACAAACAAAAACACTCCACTCTACGCTGCCTTCTATGTGCATTGCTGAGTGCAGTGCTTTCAGGGTGGCATAAAAAAAAGAAAAAGAAAAAGAAAAGGACTTTTCTGAAGCCAGTTCTTTTTGCATCTGATCATTGACCACTCTTTCCTTAGCTTCTGTGCCATCTTTTCAGGATTCAGGGAATTAATGAGAAACAGGCCTCCACACCTCACTTTTTCTTTCCATGACTTCATCACTTTATAGCTCCTAAAATGGAGGCAGTAATGGGTTACAGGCTCTGTTTTGACAAGCTCAGAGAAATACAAGACAGCGAGTCATGGCTAATGACAACTCTACTCACTCAACTGGGACTGGCTCTCGCTGCTGCGGGCAGGGGCGGGACTGGGAATTCTGGGAGTGCACAGGTCGCGACCACTCACATCGGCCCCTGAACTCCCGGCTGACAGCACGACTCCAGATAAAAAGGTGGCTTCAAAGTCCCCTTTTAGCCTATATTATTGATGTTGCTCACGTTACTTAATACGTCACTTCCTTAGGAAGAAAATAGCTGCACCCAGTCCCCGCCTTGCCTGTCAGCTAAGAAGGGGGGGCTGTGACGTCAGGGCCTGGGCGGGGCCGGACTGTTCTAAATGAGCGCTGGGAGGGGAGCTTCTGCAACGCAGAAGGCCGCCCTGGGAATTAGCCTCCTTTGCCTCCGTATTTAATTAGCTTAGACGTTAATAAAAACGTTCGTAGGTGCATCTGTGGGCTGGCAGCCATCTTTACAGCTGTGGAGAAGACGCGTGCGGTAGCCCTCGCTGTTGTCGCTCCTCCTAGTGGCCGCATCCATTTTGCGTTGGTGGCGCAATTTCAAGGTTGGGAGTAGTGTCTTCTTTAGGTTCGCAAAGCGCGGAGACCCCATGGCCCCGCTGCGGGGAGGCCCCCGGCTGGTGCTGCTGTTCAGCGGGAAGAGGAAATCCGGGAAGGACTTCGTGACCGAGGCGCTGCAGAGCAGGTCTCAGGGAGGAGGGGGGAGGAGGGGGGAGGAGGGGGGGAGGAGGGGAAATGCCGCGTCACGTGACACGAGGGGTGTGTTAGGGTGCGATGGAGTGAGCTGTGGAGTAGGGGTCCTTGGGTTACAGGTGGGAGGAGCACTAAGCGGCGGGAAGTTGGGGTATACACGCCCACCTCAAGTTACCGAGCGGTCAGCTCTCCAAAGACTGTGAAAGGTAAGTCTCTCTTGTCAAGAAGCATTAATAACAGTTACTGCCAAGTTACTTTTTACACACCATTCGTAAGCCACTCAACAATGTTGCAGGTAACCGTTACAGTTGAGGAAACTGACTCACAGATAAAGGATTTGCCCAAGACCACACCCCAAATATGTCTGACTCCAAAGACAAATCTTTGTCCAGCACACCGCCTGATAGCTGGTGTTTATTGAGGCTTTATTATGGACCAGGCACTGTGTGAATATAGTGCCTCATTTAATCCTACAAACCTCTTTGTTAGGTACTGTATGGTATTATTGGTCAGTATCCCCGTTTCGCAGATGAAGAGACTGAGGCTCTGAAAAGTAAAACAAAACCAAACCCAAACTTGTCAGGTCACAAAGTCATCATCAATCCAGGGCTCAAGTTAAACTTTAAACTAGCTCCAAGGATTGGGTTCTTTCTGCTCTACCTCACTGTCTCCCCAAATAATATCTTTCTCTTACTGTTTTCTTTCAAAGCAGGACATCCTGTGTGGGAGCATTTTTCTTGAGTCATGGGCTGGGAGAGCCGAGGAGCCAGGGAGAAAGCAGGGTGGGCCTCCTTTCCTCTTGAAGACCAGTGTGGTGGGGGTACCTGGAGGTTTCTGTCGGGCACCACAGGGGTTCTAAGAGGTTCTGGAGGAGCCCCGAGCAGAGGTCACTATCTGAATCTTTCACCGTCAAGTATCCACCACCTTTTCCTAAGTTGCATTTCTCCTCACCTGGAAACACGGAAGTTAAATAGTTGTCAGAAGCACAGGCTCTGGAATCAGACTGCTGGGATTCAAGTCCTGACTCACCACTTAGTAGTTTGTGATCTTGTGTAAGTTTTTTACCTATTCTGTGCCTCAGTTTTGACATTTGCGGGACCAGGGTAAGAATAGGTTGGTTATAAGGATTAAATGAAATAATGCGTATGAAGGGCTTAGTACAATTTTTGACACCTCATTCATTTTAACAGCACTGGCTTCATTATTTGCAGCGTTGCTTTGTGTGAGTCAGTTCCCACTCAACCTCAGTTTCCTCATCTGAAACATGGAAATAAGAATGCCTATCTCATTATGTCGGTGTTAAGTGAATGTGTGAGCATACAGTACCACGCAATATGCAGCTGGCTGAGTAAATTGGACGGAGTGAATGAATTATGAGTGTTGTAGTGACCCAGTCAGTTGGGACGCTGCTGTGAGACAACTAGTTCAGGGGTCCAGCGGTAACCCAGCCTAGCCACTATATCGCATTGTCATAGTTTCATTTGTTTAACGTGTTGTAACGTTTCAGGGCTCTTTCACATTCATTTAAGTTTCATAATAATCCTGTGGAAAACAGAATAGAAACTGGTATCCCCATTTTACAGATGAGAAAATAGGGTCAGGGAAGTTGAGCCCTAACAAAGTTAGAAAGACGCCAGAAGCAGAAATAGGACTTCAGCCCAGACCTCTCGACTCTTCTGGGGCTTGGAAGAGCCTGGCTGACTGGGTCTGGGTCTCCCTGTCCCACAGACTGGGAGCTGATATCTGTGCTGTCCTCCGGCTCTCCAGTCCGCTCAAGGAGCAGTATGCTCAGGTAGGTGGTCGCTCCCCGTGGCATCTGCTGGGTTGAAAGGAGCCAGCTCCCTGGCTTTAGTTGTTGTGGCTGTTGTTTGAGTCACTAGTAGGGTCCCTGTGACCACTGTTGGCAAGGTGGTGGCCAACCCTCGGTTTTCACTGGGTGGACTTTTGGGGGGCATTTTTGGCTTGCACTTCTCTCCCGTCGGCCTCACTCACTTCCAGGCCACCTCCCCTGAGCATTGTCCAGGAAGCATGTGGAGGAAAGGCTGGAGAGGCGAGTTGGCAGCTCTGATGCTGTGGAATTAGCAGTTCTCTTCCTCAGGAAGTGCGACACCGCACATCACTGCTTCAGCTGGCCTGCCAGGCCCCTGGAGCTCTCCCCTAAGAAATTTAGTTACATGAATTGTCAAGACATATTATTAAGTGAAAAAAGCAAGATTTGGAACAGTGTATAGAGAGTGCTGTACAAAAATGGGGAAAAATGTAAGTATGTCTGCATCCAACACATATTTATGGGGTGCCTGCATTGTGTTAAACACTGTTTAGTGATTGGGATGTGTTAGAAGCTGGGAAGGACACATAAGAGACTCTACATTGGTGTCCTCCATGGGCTGGGGGACAGGGTTGGTAGGTGGATTTAAAAAAAAATATTTTTGGACAGAGGGGAAGGGAGGGAGAAATGGAGAGAAGCATCAATGTGTGGGCGACTCTCGCAACGCTCCCTACTGGGGACCTGGGCCACAACCCAGGCACGTGCCCAGTCTGGGAATTTTAACCAGTGACCCTTTGGTTCACTGGCCGGCACTCAATCCCCTGAGCCCCACCAGGCAGGGTGGGAGGTGGATTTTTAAATGTAAATGACTGTGTATCTTTTGAATTTTGAACCATGTGGGTTTTACAAAAATAAATAGGATTGTTAAAATAGGATTAAAAAAAATTAAACAGGAACTCTTAGGGCCTTAGACTTAGAGAATGTGGAGGGTGAGCTTTCCACACAACGAGGAGCCCCTGTGGTACCCTGTGTTTTTGGCCTTGACCTCTAGATATACCCTTCCAGGCACCTGTGCTCATGGCCCCTTGGTCTTTTGGACTGAGTCTGGCCTTCTGGGGCCACAGGAGACGAATTTGTCCCTCTTTTCCGTATCTCATGGGAAGCATTCGCCTATTCCACTGAGTCTTCTTCTACCAGTTAAACGGACCCCGTGATAGAACTGTAGTCTGGGGGCCCTGGGGATAGCAGGGCCAGCAGTTCTCACTTTCTTTTTCTTTTTCTTCTTCCTTTTTTTCTTTCTTTCTTTTTTTTTTTAAGTGGGAACCTTTGGATGCAAAATTCAGCAGACAGACTATGAGTGACTGATCCATGCGTTGAAGTGCCCCAGAGCTCTGAGGAGGAGTTTGAAACCACAGTCTGCTTCCAAAGTTCTCAGATTAGGCCCGGCTCAAACCAGGCTGGGGAGTGGGGTGGGGTTGGCGGGGCAGAGTTTGCATTTTTGAAAACTGAGTAGGAGGCTCTGATAGGCCACCCTGCCGCTGCTGCCTGGAAGTCCCACGCCACTCCATCCCCACTCCCATTCAAACACAAAAACCAAACTCAGCGTGAATGCATTGATTTAAGCCATGGTGGGAAATAGAACTGACAAGGAGACCATAATGCTCCTAGTGGCCACTCTTCCCCTCCGTGGTAAGGAGCGGTTTAACCAGTTTACAAGCAAGAGGTGGCTACTGGCATCACCTTGGAACAGGAGGTGCAGGTAGAAGTGATGTGACGGGCAGGTCCTGGCCTCTCAGTTTGCAGATGATGAAACAGAGCCCGAGGGTAGAGGTCTTGTTGCTGTGAGTTGGTAAGAGAGCTAGACCCTGAACTGAGTGATGTCTTTCAGGCCCTTCTTATTCTGGGACCCTGTGGATGGACCCCTCCTGCTTCTCAGTGTCCCTGGACAAAGGGCAAGGCCTGGTCTGGAAGCAGCTCCCCAGGGGACCAGGGCAGTGCCTTCTTCAGGGGTCCTCTGAGTGCGGGAGGCCCCGGGAGGGCCTGGAGCCAAAGGAAGTGGCGCTGTCTCAGCAGAGGTGCCAGGGACTGGGGGATGAGGATGGGGGTGACAGGGAAAGGAGAGAGTCAGGGAGGCCATGTCTCTTGGGCTCTGGGATGGGACGAACAATGCCGGAGAGGGTAGTGGGGGGATATGAATGCAGTGTTTTCCTTTTTCCAACTTCAGCTGAAGTCCAAGCCTATGCCCAGGGGGTGCAAACTATATAATTTCAGGATTAGTTTTACTCAGAAATAATTGGGCAGGTAAAACTGTTGCAAAAACAAACATAAACAAACAACCACATCGCACATTTAAAAGACAAAGTGGAAAAATAACCCTGAGACCTTTCTCCTGTCCGTGTTTGGGATTTCTTGTTTCCAGAGCCCGTATCCTTGCAGGCCTCTGTCCTGCTGGAAACCTTGTTTTTGTCCTCGCATCGCCTTGGGGGAGGTGGGCGAGAGAAGGGGTGGCCCTTCCTCTGTTTTAGGAGAGGTCATTGAGGTTGAGAGGCTGGGGTATAGACCTATTGTGCTTTGGACAGGAGCACGGATTGAACTTCCAGAGACTCCTGGATGCCAGCACCTACAAGGAGGCCTATCGGAGGGACATGATCCTTTGGGGAGAGGAGAAGCGCCAGGCTGACCCAGGCTGCTTCTGCAGGAAAGTCGTGGCGGGCGTCTCCCAGCCGGTCTGGGTAAGGGCGCTGTATGGCAGCATTAAGAAGATCCCGTTTCTCCGGTCCTTGCCGCCTCCCAAATAAACCTCAGATGTGCCCATTTCTCCATTTCCACTGCCGGCTCCCGTAGCCCAAACGCCCACCGTCCCTCCCCTGCGCAGCCTAGCGGCCCCACACTCTTCCTGGCTGCAGCTCTTGTCCGCTGTAAGGCATTCCTCACAGAGCAGCCAGAGTGATCTTTTAAAAACATAAGCAGAGTCGTGCCACTCCTTTATCTCACTGTTTTGTTGAACAAAGCCAATATCCTTCACATGAATCTTGGGCCTTGAATGAGCCGGCTCCTGCTACCCGTTTAGCCTCCTTACTCTGTGAGCTGCAGCTACTCTGGCCTTTTTTTGCTTCTGCAAATAAGTTGAGTTCCTTCTGGAATCAGGGCCTTTGCACATGTTCTACCTGCCTGGACTGCCCTTGCGTTCCCTCTTCACCGGGTTAGCTCTAGCTCAGCTTCCATGGCACCTCCGCAGGGAAGACCTCCGCGATACCCCAGTCTTCACTGGTGCTCTCTGCCGGGTGCCCCCGCAGCACCTCGCCCTTTTTGTCCACAGCCATTTTGGCATTATCTCCTGGATGAAGCCTAATTCCAGGTGATTTGGGGATCCGTTAGTGCAAACATGTAATGAAGCTCTGCTCTCAGGGAGCTTACGTTGTAGCTGGGGGTAGAGACAGGTGGACCCTAACGTAATAGAGAACCTGTCAGCTGGAGGCAGAAAAATAAGGGGCAGACTAAAGGAAGGCTGGGTTGCTGCTTTGTTAAGGGTGTAAGAAGGCCTCTCTGACATGATGACATTTGAGCAGGGCCTGAAGGAGGTAAGGGAGTGAGCCAAGTAGATATTTGTGGGTGAGAGGTGAGTGGCAGGAGGTGAGGGCAGATCATGCAGGTTCTTTGGAAGAGCCTAGATATTTGTGTGAGGTGGTGACTCAGTGGAGGGTTTTGAACAGAGTTGGGACATGATGTGATCTGAGGTTTAAAGGCTCACCTTGGCTCCTGGGGGAAGGGCAAGAGTGGAAGCAGAGGATCTCTCTGCAGATAGGCAAAGTGGCCGTAGCGTGGCTCATGGTGGTGGTAGAGAAGAGAAAAGCGGTTGATTCTGCATAGATTTTAAAGATCGAATCAGTTAAGATTTACTGGTGTGTTAGTTGTGGAGTGTGAGGACAGAAGACAGAGCCAAGGATTTTGTTCTGAGCAGCTGGACAAATAGAGTTGTCATTTTCTGAGAAGGGAAAGGTGTAGGAGGAACAGGTTTGAGGAGAAAATCAGGAGCTCAGTTTTGGCGACGGTGAGGTTGAGATGCTTGTTTATAATGCACTGTGATTACACGGTTATTAGTGAAGCTGCTTGCTTAGTGTCTGTCTCCCACAAAACTGTAAGCTCTGAGAGGGCAAGCACCAGGTCTGTTTTGCTCACCACTCCATCCCCAGTGCCTGGAGCACAGTGGGTACTTGCGATAGTACTTACTGATTCATTCATTCATTGAACAGTGCACTCAGGGCCAGGGACATAGTGGTGAATGAGACCAAGTCCTTTCCCCCATGGAACTGACTCTGGGTAGGGCAGACAGGCAATACACATACATACAAACCAATTAACAGTGATGTTTTTAAGAGTAGTTAGTGCTCAGAGGAAAATCAGTAGCATATCAGAATCAAGAGGGCCAGGAAGGGCACTAGGGTGGGAGGGAAAGCCTCTCTGAGGAGGTGACATTTGAGCAGAGACTTCCATGAAGTGAGGGAGCCTACCTTGTGGTTATCCGGAGGGAGTAAGATGGGCAAAGGCCCTGAGCAGGAGACTGGTTGGCATGTTTGAGAAACAGCAAGGAGGTCAGCTGGCTGCCATGGAGTGAATGAGGGGAAGATGATGTGAAATGGGTGCCAGACGTTTCCACATCTGGTCGTATAAGTCAGGGTGAGAGCTTTGGATTTTAGTAGAATGCCTTTGAGAGGCTTAGGGCAGGGGGCTGACAAAAGTCACATTTATGATTTAAAAGCTTCTGGAGGTGAAGCACGGACTAGTTAGACTATCTTTGTTTCTGGCCGTTTGTTCATCTGTAAAATGGGTGTGTTGAACTGGCTGAACTGCTTTCAAAGCCTGACGCCTCTTCTTGAGCACGGCGGTGGCCAGCATGACCACCAGACACCAAGTGTGTCTGTGACAGAGTGTGGGCAGAGCGGACTGTGGGGTGCAGCAATCAGGGAAGGCTGCCCGCAGGGAAGAGGGAATGTGCGTCCCGGCTGCTTGCATGATAGTGGGGAATGGGGTACTTGTCTGGGTTCTGTAGTTCCCCCACCAACCTCGTCGTGCTCCTGCTTGTTTGGAGTGGGGCCAGGTCTTCCCCTTTTTCCCCCTTACCCTCTGTGCCATGTCCTGCTGCTCCCTGCACTGTGTCCTTTTGGTCACCTGTCTGTGTCCCTTCCCTGCAGCTGGTGAGTGACACACGGAGGGTGTCTGACATCCAGTGGTTCCGGGAGACCTATGGGGCTGTGGTGCAGACCGTTCGTGTGGTGGCCTCGGAGCAGAGCCGACAGCAGCGGGGCTGGGTGTTCACACCAGGTGAGCTGGTTGCAGCCTTTGCCCTCAAAGCTCAGTGCCCTGCGTGTACACCAGGCGACCTGCTCCCACGTCCTCCCATGTCCCTCTCTCCCTGGCAGGCTGTAGGGGAGCGATTGAGGGATTAGAAAAGGAAATGTGAGACTCAGGAGTGTCCCCAGCTTAGAAAGTGGTGTTGGGTAGGGGCAGGTGACATTGAGGGGAGGGCAGAGGGTCCCCATGATTTTGGCCTTGTACCCCTACCTGGGCTGTCCTTCCTAGGCCAGTGGACTCCTGAAGGTCTGGCTGGGACCCACCCCCCGGCCCAGTGGGGCTGACAGTAGGTCAGAGGCAGGCCTGACAATTCGTTGCTGTTTGACTCACAGTGGGGTCGGGGCAAGACGAAGCGATACTAGGCAGCCTCAGTGGTGCCAGCCCAGGACCTGCTCTGTGGCAATTCAGAGGCAGAGCTCATGTGTCCTCCTCCTCTAGTTCTCTGTGACTCGGGGGAGTTCAGATCCAGTGGGTCCAACCGCTCCTGCTGGCTGCTCATCTCCTTGGCACTCACCACAGGGCCTGTGCTAAGTGCTTTGAAACTCATTTTCTACACACAACAAACCCACCAGGTGATGCCAGTATTACTTTTCTTTTTGTCAGATGAGGATGGCACATACTGCCTCCTGAGAGGATTGAATCAGAGATTTAGGGACAGAAAGCAAGCAACATACCGAGCTTCACATAAAGTGGAGCTGCAGTGCCCGATTGCTGGGGTCCCCAACCCACGGGCTTCAGGCTGGTGCTGGGCCATGGTCTGTTAGGAACTGGGCTGCACAGCAGGAGGTGAGCAGCGGGCTAGTGGGCAAAACTTCGCTTGCATCATCACTTGAGCTCTGCCTCCTGTCTCCTCTCATCTGTGGAAAATTGTTTTCCACGAAACCAGTCCCTGGTGCCTAAAAGGTTGGGGACCTGCTGCTCTGTTGTATTGTCTGTGATTTTAGATGAACCAGTCTACCCTCTGTAGGAAGTGGCAAGTGAAGAGTGTAGTCGGCAGAACCCTCTGAGGGTTCAGGTGGCTGTGGGCTACTGAACCTGCTCTTGGGGTGTTTCAGGAGGTTGGCAAGTACCCTCTAGGGGAGGGTGGAGCTGGGCTCTGGGTGGCCGAAGGGAGGGTAGCTCCATCCGAGGCCAGAAGGCCTCCGTGTGCATGCACAATGCCTGGTGTTCGTCTGGAGGGAGCGGGCTTGACCTCTCCATGCTTCCTCCACAGGAGTGGATGATGTTGAGTCAGAATGTGGCCTGGACAACTTTGGGGACTTCGACTGGGTCATTGAGAACCATGGAGATAAGCAGCGCCTGGAGGAGCAGTTGGAGAACCTGACAGAGTTTGTCCACGCCAGACTTTAGTTGTCAGGCTCTAGGAGCACCAGATGCTGCCGAGGCAAGGATGGGAATGACTGCTGGACATGTGGTTGCGGGCCCTGGCCAAGGCAGGGAGCACACAGAGGGTCTGGGTCCAGATTTCTGGGGAGCCAGCAGATGTCAGGGAGGTCAAGAGACCTCCAGGACCTCATTTCTCTGTGGACTGGACGGCTCTGCCTCTTAGGAGAAGGCTTAAAGGGCAAAGGGCTGTGATTGAGGCAGAAACGCCGCCACCTGCATTGGTGCCTGGCCTGTCCACCTGCCGTGGCCTTGCTCCCCCATCAGGATGCTTTTAGCTCTTAGTTCTGGGTAAGAATGTGGACATGAATAAATGTCTTTGGAACACATGCTCAGAACTGGGTATCTCTCATTTCCCAGGTGTCAGCCCAGCCTGCGTGGGACTCAGAGACTTGGGTTGTCCGGGTGGCTCTGGGTTCCTGCTCTGCCTTCCACCTGGGCTGGAATGTATCCTGCAGAAGCTGACCTTGGCCTGCGCCATGCGGGTAGCACTTCTGTTTGTGTTGGAGACAGAATTGGGGCCTTAGGGTCTCATCTTTGGGGATGGCCTCCAAGAGAGGCTCAGTGCAGCAGGTGCCCTGAGGAACGGGGGGTGTTATAGAGGGGCAGAGGCACTAGACATCAATGGCTTCTGGTAACCATGGTGGGGCTCTGGGCAAGAAACGTCACTTATTATAAGCCTTGGCTTTCCCATAGAAGACCTTGGACTTGACCCCTTTTATTTAGACAGTCTTATACAATTTGTAAATTCCTTCCAGATTTTTCAAAGCCACCATGTGAAATGGGCAAGGAGAGTTTTTTCATCTCCATTTAGCAGATGCCAAGAACTCAGAAAAGTGAAACTGCTTGCCTGAGGTTAGAGGGTAGTGCCCGCGCTCAGACTAGGACACAGGCCGCCTGATCCCTGACCTGGTCCCCTCTGCCACATGCCTTTGGATACTGTACAGAGTCCTATGGCTCCTTGCCATCCTCAGGCCTAGCCTAAACATCCCACTCTCTGGCTCTGGCTTTGTTTTCCTCCCACAAATTCTGATGGTTCTCACTGATGAGGAGCCAACCAAAGAAATTACATCAGTCTCAATGTGACCCAAGCTGAACTTTACTGCCCAAATTTCCTCCCTTTAGATCACCTGTTCCTGATACTAGTTCCCTGCTTTTTCAGTTAGCCAGGCCTGAAAGCTTGGCAGGCATTGCAGGCTCCTCTGTGTCCCCTGACTGCTGGGGCTAATTGGTGAGCCGGGGTGCCAACAGGTTCTGGTAACCTGCCCCGCCTGCGCCTCCTGCTGGGGGTCTCACTGGAAGACAAACAGCCCTGTGATGGTTGGGGCCCTGCCTCTCCTGCAGTGTGTCCCTGGCTCCTGGCGCGCTGCTGGCCCGCAGTGGGCACTCAGGAAATGGCTGCAGTTGAATGCATGCTGAGACGGGACTCCAAAAATCACCTGGAATCTAGTAGGTGACCATTCCATGCAGCGCGTGCTTCCTTGGTTTCCAGGTGGCTCTCCCAGCTCCAGGGCCTGGACCCTCTGTCCCCCTGCCACTTGAGCCAGGACTGGTTTAAGTGCTTCTGGGGCCCTTTCCAATGTGGGGTGCTGGCCCTTCAGGGCTCCTCTCAGAGGCTGCTTGCGAGCCTGCCCCACTCCCCTGAGCATTTTATATTCACCCCAAGTTTGTGACCCAAAGAGTTTGTCTTTCTGATTCCCCAGATGTGGCCCCCGCAACTGTTGGTCATTTCTATGACTGGGATTGTTCAAGAACACCTGCAGTGGGCTTCTGAGGGGCGTCTCCGGGCAGCGGGGGCGGTGCCCTAGGACACGGGGTGGTGCTTGTAGGGTGTGTAGGCCTGGGGGTCGCGGAGTCCCAGCCTCCTTCCCTCAAAGGCCCACAGACATTCTCTGTGGCACTGACTTCCCCGGCACCTCGGGGTGCATCTCTCCCTCTCCCCTCGATGGGGAGCTCCTTGGGGAATGGGCCTGGGCCCTGCTCATCTCTGTGCCCCCAGTGCCTGTCACCCGGCAAGGGCGGCAACGGCGGGAGATGAGCAATGATTGCCGAGTGCCCGCCACAACCAGACATGGTAGGGATTTTATATACTACATCCTTGGAAACAGATTTCATAAGTGATGGAGGGAAAAAAGGAATAAAAGAAAAAATATTGACCAGATTTAAAGCTCTCAGGTGCTGGTTTAACAATCCATGCAGGTGATCCTCAATGATAATTTTAATAGTAACAACAGCTGTGTTTTTTCAGGATTGTTACTGGCTAGGTACTGTGCAAAAGCCTTTCATACAGAGGAGGCCTTTTTATTCCCATTTAATCCGAGGACCCCTGTGGGTCCTCCTGTGGGCACGGCAATAACTGCAGAGCCAGCACCAGGGCCAGCGCATCTGCCACCGAAGCCCGTACCTGGAAGCCCCGCATCTGGCAGTGTGAGGGGACGCAGTGCCACCCCTGTCGTTTTGAAAGCAGCCAGTCCCTCCCTGTCTTCACAGGTGAAGGGACTCAGTGCTCAGGGTGGATGTGAACCTGCAGTGTGGTAGCAGACTAACGGAGTGCTGATTGTTCTTCCTCCCACCTTTATTGAGATGTAACTGACATAACGTGTAAGTTCACCATGTATAACATGATTTGATACATGCATATGTTGCAAAATGAATACCATAAAATAAGGTTAGTTAACACCTTCATCACCTCACATAGTTGCCATATACTCACACATGCACGCATTGTGTGTGTGTATATATGTATATGTGTGTGTATACACACACACATGTATATATTTTGGTGGTAAAAACATTAAAAGATCTACTCTCTTGGCAACTTCCAACTATATACTATAGTGCTGTTAAGCATAGTGATGATGCTGCGCCTTAGATTCCAGAACTTGTTCATCTCATAACTGGAAGATTGTACCCTTTGACCAATATCTCTCCATTTCTCTCACCCCCGGATCCCAGCGATCGCTACTCTGCTTTCACTTAAATGCCTGCAGGTCCATCCATGTTGTTGCAAAAGGCGGGATTTTTCCTTTTTTGTGGCTGAATTCTTTTAGGCAGGGTGTTCTTTTTTGTGTGTATATGTGTACATATATAAAAATGTACCATATATATACAAAATGTACCATATATGTAATGTGTTATATATACTATTTTCTTTATCTTTTCATCTGTCCATAGGTATTTAGGTGTTTCCATGTCTTGGCTGCCGTGAATAATGCTGCAATGAACAAGGGGGTGCAGATGTCTTTTTTAAAAGATTTTATTTATTTACTTTTAGAGAGAGGGGAAGGGAGGGAGGGAGAAAGAGGGAGAGAAACGGTGCACATGTGTCTTTGAGAGCGTGATTTGCTTTCCTTCAGCTACGTACTCGGCAGTGGGATTTCTGGATGTTCACTGATTGAATTGTTAAGTTTAAACATCAAGGAGGCAGGAATGAAGCAGAGAGAGGGGTGGGGCTGGTAGGTCTTAGGTGTCCTTGGAGAGGTTGCTAGCCTGGTTCCTGCTTCTGGGAATTTGGAAGAGTCACGGGATGTGACATGGGAAGCCAGTGGGCCCATCCCCCAGTCTTTGACAGGTCGGCACTGATGACTCTTAAAATGGGAGGCCCCAGTGGTTCACCAGAGTCACTTCTGCTGGACTTGAGGTTCTTCCGTACTTAAAAAAAAAACCCTGGTATTCTCCAAATATCAAAATCAAGAATAACCCCAACTTTTGATACCTTCTGGTATAGGGAGAGCTTTAGCTGCTTCTCTTTCAGGACTTTCTCCCACCCTACTAGTCTTTGCTAGCTTTGTCTGTGGTTATAATATCAGGGTATTGCTACTAAGTTATTTTGTAATATTATATATACATTCTTTTAATAATAATTTGCACTAATATTGTTTTAGCATTATTTTATTATTCCATTTCTGAACAGCTATATTGAGATATAATTGGCATGCAATAATGGTACGTGTTTAAAGTGTATAATTGGATAAGTTTTGGCATTTTTGTACACCCGTGAAACCATCACCACAACCACAATGGACAGAACCATCACCCCCAAAAGCTTCTTCATGTTTCCCCCCCCTCTTGCCACTCCCTGACACCTCACCCTCATCGACAGGCAACCACTGAACTTCTTTCTGCCTCTGTAGATTAGATTGTATTTTCAATAATTTTACAAATATGAATCATATAGTATATACTATTTTTTTGTCTTACTACTTTCACTCAGCATAATTATTTTGAGATCCATCCACATTACTTCAGGTATTAATAGTGGGTGTGGTGTGAATATCACACAATTGTTTATCCATTCACCTGTTGATGAACATTTGGGTTGTTTCCAGTGTTTGGTTATGACAAATAAAGCAACTGTGAACATTCATGTACGAGCTTTTGTGTGGACATGTGCTTTCATTTCTTCTGGATAAATACCTTCCCAACTTTTAAAGAAATTGTCAAACTGTTTTCCAAAGTGGTTGTGCCCCATGCCCACCAGTACTGAATAAGAGTTCCAATTCCTTCCCATCCTCACCCATACTTGGTATGGTTAGTCTTTTTAATTTTAGTCATTCTAGTAGGAGTGCAGTGATATATCATCAGCATTTTATTTGCATTTCCCTATTTATTTGACACAAATCCCACATTAAATTTTGATAAAATCAGCAAACTAGGAATAGAATGTAGTTTCATCTACCTGAAAAAAGGGCTTCTGCCAGAACCCTACAGCTCATAGCACACTTAATGGTGAAATACAAAATGTTTTTTCAATAAGGGGTATGAGGCAAGGATGCTCACTTTAATCACCTATCCAACATTATACTGGAGGTTCCAGTCAGTGCAATAAGACAAGAAAAAGAATTAAAAGACATTCAGGTAGGGAAGAAGTAAAACTGCCTTACTCATAGATGACATTTATCTACATAAAAAATTTGGTGGAATCTCCAAAAAAAGTACTAGAACTAAGTGTGTGCAACAGGATTGCAGGATACAAGATCAATATGTAAAAGTCAACTGTGGACTTTCGGTCAAGATGAAGGTGTAGGTAAACACAGTTCACCTCCTTGTACAACCATTTCAAAATTACAAATAAATTACAGAAGAACCATCACTCAGAACTGTCAGATATTGAGTTGAATGGAAGTCCGACAACTATGGAATTAAAGGAACCACATCCATCCAGAGTGGTAGGAGGAGCAGAGACATGGAGATGTGGAACAGGCTGGTCCCACACTTGTGTGGTGGCTAAAAATTTGGGAAGGATATCTTGGAAGCAAGGATTCCAGCCCCAGATCATGCCCCCCAGCCCAGGGTTCCAGTGCCAGGAAGATAAGTCCTCATAACTTCTGGCTGCAAAAAACAAAC